TTATTCAAACGAGTAGGGGTTGGACGGACGGCTCTGAAATGTTCCTTTAAATGGACAGAATATGACAATGGGTCTATGGGGGCTTGGTCTTGGAAGTTAGAGATCGTCTCTCCAGGAAACCGGAGCTTTGTGCCAAGAACGAGTTCTGCTGGGGAGCATCCGAGATCTTCCTTGATAGTATTTCGCACGGAGGGAAGAATGATTGGGAGACGTTTCGCCCAGTTTAAGCCAGAAGAGGTAGCGATAAGGGCAGACTTAGGCTGTAGATGAAAACGTTCGACAAGGCCGTTGGCTTCGGGGTGATAAGCGGTTGTGCGGATGTGTGTCGATCCCAAAAGTGATTTAACTCCCGGAACAGCGAAGAGGTGAACTGGGATCCTCTTTCTGTCGCTAAAATGACTGGAACGCCGAACATGGATATCCACGACTCTATCAGTGCCTTCGCCACCGATGACGAAGAGGTTTCGCGTAAAGGAACCGCCATTGGCTAGCGTGTAGAACGGTCGATACAAGTTAAGATATGCGTGAAAGAGTTCGATGGTGGAAGTGGGCCAACGATATCAACACGAATATGTCGGAAACGGGCTGCGGGTATGCTCTTGCACCTTGCTGATCTGGCAAGTGAGATAATTTTTGGACCACAGGCGAACGTCCTGTCGGATGTTCTTCCAGACGAACCGATCAGTGATCAACTTCGTTGTGGAACGAATGCTCGGATGCGACATACCATGAAAATGGTCGAAAATCTTCCGGCGATATTCTTGTAAGACGAAAGGTCTCGGCTTTCCGGTCGAAACGTCGCAATAGGTCTGGGTATCAGAATCTGGCAATGGTAAACATTCAAAGCGCAACGAGGGTTGGAAACGATTTCCATGAAATCGGGGTCTGACTTCTGTTCGGACGCCAAGACTTCCAGGTCGAGCGAGGGTACGCCGATTTGATTAAATTCCATGCGTGACATTGCATCGGCTACAACATTGTTAGCGCCGTCAATATGTCGAATATCACTCGTGAATTTTGCGATATAGTGCAAATGTCACATTTCCCTAGAAGAATGGTGGTCTGCAGTGGCCTGAAAAGCGTAGATTAACGGTTTGTGATCAGTAAAGACCGTAAACTGACGTCCCTCTAGTATATGCTGAAAGTGATTAACAGCCAAGTATATGGCAAACAGTTCTCGACCGAATGTGCTGTAACGCATCTCAATATTGGTAAGCCTCCTTGAGAAAAAGGAGAGTGGCTGAATGTCTCCCCTGACTATCTGTTGAAGGACTGCTCCGACGGCCACTTGGGATGCGTCGGTCTTCAGGACAATGCGTGTCGTTTTAGACGTATTCAGATGATTCAATGCAGTTGCCTCTGATAGTTGCTGCTTCACCAAGGAAAATGCTGATTCAGCCTCTGACGTTATCTTGAAATGCTTCGGGTTTCCCTTAGGCAAATCTGTGAGAGGTTGAAGGACTTGAGCACATTTCGGAATAAATTATCTGTTATAGTTTACTATGCCTTGGAAGCGGCGCAAACCTTTTACGAACTGGGGCAAGGGATAGTCCATGATCGACTGCGTTATCGCTGTTAAGGGTGTGATTCCACAACCATTGATAGGATGTCCCAAAAAATCGATTTCTGACAGGCCAAATTTACACTTCTCGGGATTGATCATGATCCCGTATTGCTGAAGACGTTCAAACACCTGTCTTAGGTGTTGTTTATGCTTGTCGGAGTTGGAACTGGCAATCAGCACATCATCCATGTATGTGAAACGAAGTCTAACCCACGAAAAACTTGGTCCATAAACCGCTGGAAAGACTGAGCTGCATTGCGTATGCCGAAAGGCATACGAAAGTATTCGAATAAACCAAACGGCGTGATAACGGCAGTCTTTTCAATGTTCTCCGGATGCATGGGAATTTGATGGTAGGCTCGAACAAGGTCGAGTTTTGAAAAAAATGACTTTGCCGTGCAGTTGTAACGAGAAATCGTGGATATGAGGAATCGGGTATCGGTCTGGGACGGTGATTCGATTGAGGGCCCGGTAATCTCCACATGGTCTCCAGTCACCGTTTGTTTTTGCGACCATGTGCAATGGGGAAGCCCATGGACTGTTTGAAGGTCGAACGATGCCTAGTGTAACCATGCGTTGAAATTCCTCTTTAGCCGCGCGTAGTTTATCAGGGTGCAGACGGCGAGCTCTTGGGAAGACTGGCTGTCCTGCCGTACTAATGTGGTGATGCACCCCATGTTTTGGTTCAAACATTTCCGATTGTGCACGGACGAGCGATGGGAATTCGGATAACAAATATGCGAGAGGGTCCGTAGTCGGAAAGACGACATTAAGACCGAAAGTATTTTTGGGTTCTGTAGAACACCCCACTCGCGATGACGTGGCGTTATCCTGGAGGGTTCTGTCTCGGAGGTTGACTAATAACTGGAACTTGGTAAGAAAATCAGCTCCGATGATGGGATTTTTAACATCGGCGATAATAAAGGTGAAGGGAAACTTTTGACGGAGGCCTAAGTCTATAATAAGAAACTTCCGGCCGTAGACGGCAATCTTAGAGTTGTTGGCTGCAAAAATTGGATTTTCGAATGGTTTTAGACAACGTTTTTCTAGTATATGAGGAATAACGCTGACTTCGGAACCCGTGTCGACCAGGAATCTGATCTTTGAATTTCTGTCAGTAACATGGATGAGGCGACTTTGGAAATGACCAGGGTCAGTAGTCGCCTTTACTGTCTAGCGTTGGAGATTTTTGGTGAATTCCTCTTTTGATATTTACAACCGGTTACGCACTTCTGGGCCTCGTCTCCGAATGTCCTGTGATAAGAGCAGATGGAATTATGACGCTTGTAGGGACTTCGGTATCGTCTTCGGGGATCAGAACGTTGTCGCTCGCGCTCTTCAGGGTGATTGCGCTGAGAAACGAGGTCTGCCACGATTAGCGACAGATTTTTTAGCTGTTCGTTGATTGCGTCAAGTTGCTTATTGTCGATACTAGTGGAATTTGAAGTCTTGACCGCATTAATACCCGGCTTGTAATAACAACGATGGACTATATCAGGCACTTCCGCCAGTTTGTCCAAGTTATCTTGGTTAGGGTGTGTGGCAACCGCCGCGCAGATACGAGCAGATAGGTTGTTCCTCCATAGATCCTTTATGAAATTGTCACCCAAATCATAAATACCAGCCAGGAGGTGGATATGAAGCAGAAGTTCAGAAGGAGAACGATCCCCGAGTTCGACTTGGGTCATTATTTGATGCAATTGGTCCTCTCGCGGAGCAGAAAAACGATTGATGACGGCTTGCTTGAATTGATCGTATGAGTCGTCATCTAGCGCCTTGGAGATAATATGCCTGAACTGTTCGACTATCGTAGTCGGGAGCGATCCTGTAACATATTGGAACCATGTTGTTCGCTTATTAATACCTTTTGCCTTGAGAATGTTTTCGAACTGCGTAAACCAGATATCAGGGCGTTGGGGGTCGAAAACAGGATTGCAAACAGAGAAACGGAGTGTATCGACGTCTAGATTAAACACTTCGGACATTGTGATATAGTAGGAGGACGGAAGTAGAAGACTTGAGCAGATTGAACAAAACGAAAAGTATTCGCCGAATAAGTGAAAGAAGGTGCTTTGATTGAACCGGGCGAGTGGAGCGATTGAAAGGAAATCGCGATGCCGGAGAGATTATTCCACTGCTGAGAGGGTGTAGTCAGGCTTGATCACGACAGGGTCACCTATTTGTAGCGAATTAGCTACCTCAACAACCTTGACTATTCTCAGAAAGCTCTATAGTAGTTTCTTCCAACTCGAAAGTCCCCGGGAATTAGCTAAGCTAAGAGAAAGTTATAAAGGAAAGAGACGTGTTGCACGGAATACGTTTATTCACTACGTATATTGATAGCGAAGTGTGTTTTTGGCACATCGATTTGTTATCCGATAAATCTAGCATAATTCGCGTGAACATTAATAGCTAAATATATCTGAGTAGTGTTCTGTAGCAGGATTTCTATTGGTGTGATGAAGTTTCCCACAAAGCACACTTCTGTAGGACCCTGTTTCAAGGCCACTTTTTGATTATCGTCCTAAATCACTTACCTGCTTTGGCGAGAAACTTCAAACTGAACATATTGACACCAACTAATCTTTATTAAATCTCATCTTAGTTATGAATACAACTGGTTCGGTTTTATATTATAATGCCTAATCAGAACATCTTTTAATAACTGTACGTTTCTCAGTGCTATCGACGCTTATTGATCATGGTCACATTACTCACTCATTTCTCTCAATATTTCCTTCAAATCGATAGTAAACAAATGAAGTTTGATAGTGTTAAATTTCACCAATAAGAAGAAAGTAGATGAGGCAAATTTGTCGAAATCAGATAGAGTTTCACCCATCTTTATAAGAATAGGGAAAAGGTTCATAAACTGCCCAGTTGGTAAGGCATAAAGTAGTAAGGCGACTTCATTCATAAATAAAACCGTGCGCGAAATATGACGTTATTCTTTCAATCTGGTGCGGTCTGCCAGCCCATACCTACTGATGAAATGGGATTTACTGGGGTCAGTTGAATAAGTTCATCCTTGTATTTTGGCTTAGGCTTCAATAGCATTTTGTTGCGCAATGAATCTCTCTATTTGACTTATAAGGCTTGACTACATTTGCAGCCAATAATGTTCCACACTGGTTTATAGGCTATTAAAGGAGCCAGTAAACTTGCGAGCAAATTGCACAACATGACGTCAGTGTCATCATCGCACTCTGATTGGATGAAAGTGGCCTTGAAATCAAGCCTTAAGTGTGCGATTGTATGCGAATTAAGCGTTGAAACAGTTTTAACATTTTTGTGGGTTGGCGATCATCAGGTTGGTGTTGGCTCGTTCCCTCTCACATATGCGACTTCTTTCTTATACACCCAATATTAATCCATTTGATAACTTTAAATATGTTTTAAATGCAATATCCCATTGTTAACAATAACTAGAAGGGCAATGTCGCGACTAGGAACTCAGCGAACATTTTACAAGGATCTGCAACAGCTTTACAAGACCGTTGAGAGTTCAACCGATGATCAAGCAGAAATTCTTGGAATTGACGAGATGACGGTCAGACTAGCTCTGAAGCCAAAGACGGGTTA